TTTTATAAAGCAGCTATCAGAAGAAGAGAGACTCCCACCTGCAGCTCTTCATATCTCTATAACCACACTGACAGACATACGAGACTCTGACTTCCACAACATGGACGTTATAACACATGGACTCATCACATTTTTAATATCTCTAATCTGGATGAAAGGTGAATCATGAACTCATAGATTTACAATGTTTATCTATTATTTATAACAAAGGATTATTATAAAGGATTGCATCAGATGGTAGAAATGGTTTTTAACTGACATCCTGCTGAAAAACAAAGGCAACAGTACAACAATAACCTGCAGCCACACCAAGGGTGCTCAGTACTTCCAGAAGTACTGGTACAGACAGCTGCCGGGAGAAACAATTCAACTAGCAGTCTTCACTTTTACAAAGACTGAACATACTTATGAACCAGACTTCAGAGGGCAAAAATATTCAGCCACCAAGCCTGACGCTCACAGTGGGGCATTCACAGTGAAGAACGTCCAGCCAGAAGATAAAGGCTTGTACTTCTGTGCTGTGAGTGAACACAGTGATACAGACACATGTGGAAGCTGAATAAACTGTTGGCACATCTGTTTGTGAGTCTATTTATCTGATGTACTGTAGGGGGACCTCAAGCACAATCACTGAACATCATACAGTACAGAGACACTCCCTGCTGTAACCGTTCATATCTGTAGCGTCACACCTCCATCACACTGACTGACAGTGACTCTGGTCTCCAACTTCATTTTGTTCAGAGCACAATCATGATCACAGCTGGTCTGATCGAACTCTCTGCAGCTCTGCTCTGGATTGTAGGTACTGTACATTATGAGGAGAAGCTGTTACTTTATCTCTACATTCATACTCATGATTGTATGTTGTTGTTGGTGGTCCTGTAACATGACATGTGATATTTTTTACCCTCACAGGTCTAACTGATGGGAGTGATGTCATCCAGGCCCCTCTGCTGTGGAGGGTGGAGGGTCAGTCTGCCACAATGAACTGCAGCCACACTAAGGACATCTCATACCGAACGATGTACTGGTACAGACAGCTGCCAGGAGAGGGAATGAGGCAAATAGTTTACACGACTCCAAATCCTCCACATGCATATGAAAGTGGCTTCAGTGTGGACAAATTTCCTGCAACAAAGAGCGACGCTCACACTGGATCTCTGACAGTGGAGAAGCTGCTGCCTGGGGACAGGGGAGTGTATTTCTGTGCTGTGAGTGAACACAGTGATGCAGGAGACTTAGACAGCTGCATAAATACTCATGTGAATAGAAGAGAGCTGTTTCTTTGGTGCACTACAGAGGGAGCTCTGGACTAACACTGAGGCTAATAACTGTTAACTGCACTTAAAGACTTTGTTGGCATTGTATTATGCTCATTCATCATGTGGCCACTAAATGTTTTTTACAGAATTGATAATGTCATAATGTATGAAACACTACATCCAAATTCCATTATCGTGAATATTGTCACGAGTGACTTGAAAAGCTGTCTAGCTCACCATCACGGTTGAGATGTGAAAAATAAAGCCTACTTTAGAAGAACAAACTTTCTTTGTTTATTTATTCACCTTTTACGTATGCGATACCTCATGATTGTTATTATTATCTTAATTAAGATTGTTAGATTGTTGTGCTATCTGTGAAAAAAATAATGTTAAGTGATTCCAGTATGTTTGAGTGCCATTTTAAGTGTTTTTAAATCATATTTTGATGATTTAAAAAAAACATCTTATTGTGATAATTTAATATTGACCCAGGCCTACTCTGTACTCTAACTGAACATGTTTCCTGACATTTGTAGACATTTGTTTTATTCTAATCATTTTCTTGTTGGCTTCACACCGTGTTAAATTCTACATTAACTCTGTTGTAATTCCAATAAACATTTAAACCTATACCTACATTTGGGCTGGAAATGGAGAGTGCTGGAAAAGCTCAATGTTAAAAATAAAAATAAAAAGTTGATTCTTGACAGTGGAAACAGTTTTAACTCAAGGCCCACTAACTGGACCCTCGGTACATTACCAAAGACCATGCGATCAAAGCTCTAGAAACAGCTAGTAAGTAACATTGAGTTAGGATTATTATGTCAAACTTCCTGTCATCATTCCGTATTACTCAAATAATGAGTGTTCAAACATTGCCAAATATGTATATAAAACTGTTTATAAGAATGCAACTGCTACAAGCCAACATCCAACAGAACAATACAACAATAATCAAAGATTTGGGATTCCAAAGAACCATGTTAATGTATAACGAATGTATGAAGAGGCAAAAATCCAAATATGAAATGTCTTTGGCATACAGTTTGTCATACAGGCCAATATTTTGAATATTTTGAATTATTACCAACATTTCTTACCTTCATACATACTATGTACTTATAATATTTGTGCTTTGTTCATGTGATCAGACTGACTTTAATAAATTGATTAATGCATTATGAACAACAGATTGTAATTTGCATTATTGGTTTATTCATGTAATGTAAAGCGAACACATTAACTGTCCAAGCCCTAACCGTCTCACATAATAAAATACATAAACATGTACCGCTTCCCTCCATTAAAGCCAAACGTCTGCTGTACCACCAACACACAAACATAACTCTGTGTAATGATGATGAATTGTTACGCCTGACCGTCAGGGTTCATCTCAGGTTCTTTGTCATCTTGTTTCCTGTCATGAGGTGGCACTACAGTACGTCTGTGGTGTGTAGTGGCAGTTCACGGAATATTATGCGATACAACACCACCCAACAAAAAACATGTTTCCTGATGGGAGGGCTTACAGCAATATTCAGTAAAAACTGCATACACAGTGATAAAAACACAGTACCAATAACAAAGATGCTCAGTCATAAAACAAGATGATCACTGTCTTCTGCATAGCCCTTAATGTCATAATGGTGTCAGGTAATTCTCACAGGTTCATCATCTAAAACGCCTGTTGAGCATTCTTTTACATTTATTTACCGTGATTGTAAATTGTTTTTTGTTGACGCTGTTTCCACAGGTTCCTCTCTCAGCGACCAGGTCTACCAGACTCCAGCTGACATGTTCACCAAAACTAAAGGAACAGCCGAAATCAACTGTTCTCACAGTATTCAGAACTACGATCAGATCCTCTGGTACAAGCAACTCAACAATATGCAGCTCCAGCTCCTGGGCTACATGTATGCAACTCATGGAAACCCAGAGGCTGGACTGGGTGTGAAGATAGAAGGGAGTGCAAATAAAAATCAGGCCTGCACATTAACAATCGAAGGACTCGCCCTGAACAGCAGTGCCGTGTACTTCTGTGCTGCTAGGTTGCACAGTGCTACAGATCACTGCTCCTCAGTACAAAAACCTCCTCACACATCGTTTCTTCTCCGTCAACAATTGGCAATATGCACAATGACACCGCCCACTAATGACTTGGGAGGGTTTACTCAATGGAGGAGGTTGGAGATTCTCTGTATGACTGCTTCAGTCATTGCAACAACAAATTGGGGATCTTATTTATTTTGATCGAATTTTCTGCAATATCACCAAACATCCAGAAAAAAACACAAAATGTACATCGTCTTCCTTTGCATTACTTTTAGATCTTTGCTGGTGTCAGGTAACGCACTAATAATGGTGTAACGAACATTTAATTCAAGTTTTCTTTAAAATCTGTTTACATCCAGTCTCTTTTGCTGCTGCCATTTCAGCTGTTTTTGCACTGTTTCACATTTTATATTATTCCATTTTACCACAGGTTCTTCTCTCAGCGAGCAAGTCCACCAGACTCCAGCTGACATGTACAACAAACCCAAAGAAACAGCCACAATCAGCTGTTCACACAGTATTCAGAACTATGATCAAATCCTCTGGTACAAACAGTCAAGGGATAAAAAACTGCAGTTCCTGGGATACATTTTTAAAACCAATGGAAACCCAGAGGCTGGACTGGATGTGAAGATGGATGGGAGTGCCGATAAAGACCAAACCTGCACATTAACAGTTGAAGGACTCACCCTGAACAGCAGTGCCGTGTACTTCTGTGCTGCTAGGTTACACAGTGCTACAGATCACTGCTCCTCAGTACAAAAACCTCCTCATCGCACAGTCTTATCTCTGTATTAAAGCTCACAGCCCTGTGCACCTGGGAGGTCCTTTCTGCAGAGCAATGTCTTTAACCACCCACCCCCCACTATAAAAAGACTCATCATGTCTGCCGTGGCTGCTTCTCATGTTAACAGGATCACTACAATGACTCAAGTTCTCATCACATTTGTAGTCTCGTCTCTGTTACTTCAAGGTACAACAACACAAACTGACATGTTTGTACGGTGTGTAATGGTTTATTGGTACCTGGTGTATTTACTACCATGGACACATGGGCTGATGGAGACCCACTGTGTTTATGCTGCTGACTATAACACGGGGATGATTGTCTTTCAGTGACAGTGGAACTAAGTCAAATATTTGTATGTTTTCTGCTGGTTTTGCATACATGTGATTCATAAAGGAAACTACTGTTAGCATTTTAAAAAATCCAGAAAAAGGAAATACTGACTTAAATGTTTCACCCTGTAAATTACTAAAAAATGTAACTTTTTGAAATGAACGGAATTTTTGTATTTTCTCCACACAGGTCAGTGCCAGGATGTGACCCAATACCCTGAAATCAATTGGAGTTATGTTTCCAAATCTGCAGAGATGAACTGCAGCCACAACAAAGACGCCAGTCACAACCAGATGTACTGGTACAGACAGCGTCCAGGAGAGACCATGACCCTCGTGGTCTACACAGTTTTTGGTGGACAGCCAGACTATGGGGTGCTCCCTCAAACCAAATATTCAGCCGTCAAAGACAACATAGCGAGTGGGGCTCTTATTGTGAAAGACTTGCAGCTTGAGGACGGTGGTGTGTATTTTTGTGCCGTCAGCAAACACAGTGATGTGACAAGTATAAGCAGCTGAACAAAAACTGGTTGCCAATACATTTGAGTGTATTAGAAACCACCTACTGGAATTTTATATCATTCCAGTAGGTGGAGCTGGAGCTGCAGAAATACTCATTCAACGCTGTGAGATTTAATGTAGCTGGTTGACAGAGGAGGGCATTGATAAAAGAGTCCATAGTAAACTGTGCAAGTCAGGTTTCCAAAGCCATTCAGTGTTCTGTGTTCATTCAGACAGAAGGTCAACATGCCAACATTAATCCATTTATCTTGGATCATTGGTAATCCCTTCATTCATCCAGAAATAATCATGGTATCCATAGTTTACACACGGTTTACTCACTCTCTTTCTTTCTAGGTGTTTGTCTGAGTGTTAAAGTCGACCAGACTCCTCCAGAACTTCTCAGGAGACCCGGAGACAAAGTCCAGCTGGTCTGCAGCCATGAAAAGACAGACTACACACAGATGTACTGGTACCAGAAGTCCCCTGGAGACCGAGCTCTGAAGCGCATCGGACATGTGTATTACAGCACTATAGAACAGGAGGAGTCCTTCAAAGAACATTTCAATATCACCGGAGATATGAGTGGAGAAGGAGCAAAGAACGGTTCTCTGTTTATAGACAAGCTAAAGGCCCCTGAGCACAATGCACTTTATTACTGTGCAGCTAGCTACGCACACTGACTGCAGAGCCCCTCTACGCTATACAAAAACTCTGAACCAACTTTCATCAATATTTATGGCTTTGATTAAGACCCTGAACAGACCCCTCCCAGCCAGCTGCTCTTGGTTTGATGCCATCGTCTCTGCCAGTGATGCCGTTTCATCTTCACTTCCCTTTCCACACCTCAGTGGAGGAATCAGTTAGATGCTGCTCACAGTAACAGTCAGGTTCTTCTGAACGTCAGCAACTTAAACTTCTGAAACTCTAAGATAAATACTTTGGATAATCTATTTAAAGGCTTTTTAGTAACTGCTTTAATTTGAGGAAGTCAAAATGATCCGTTTTCTTTTTTTATGTTGCCTAACAGGTAAAAACTAGTTCAAATACAATTGTCTCTTATGAAGGTCAAAAAGGCTTCATCTTTTTAAAATGCATAACCTATCACAATGCACTATTTCCGGTCTTTATCCAGGTGGTTGTCTGGGTCTAGACGTCCGTCAGT